AAAATTCTTTGCCCAAGCCAGTATTGGACAGCATACATCGAACCTTCTCCAACAAAGTCCAATTCATGCGTTCTGCCACTCCATTCTGTTGTGGTGTATTTCTGACGGTGAAATGTCTCAAAATACCATCATCTTCACAAATCTTATTGTAAAGATTATTTTTGTATTCTTCACCGTTATCTATGCGAACACTTTATATTTCTGCATGTTTGAGTCTCTATCATCGCCTTCCATTTAAGAAAAATTCTCAGCACCTCATCTTTGGTTTTCATAGTACATACCCATACTCTCCGGAAAAAGTCATCAATAAAGGTTACAAAATAGTGTTTCCCACCTAATGAAGGTGTTTTGGAAGAACCCCAAACATCAAAGTGAACATAATCCAAAATATCTTTAGTATTATGGATTGTTGTTCCAAATTTATCCCTTGTCTGTTTCCCCTTGACACAATGCTCACAAAACTCCAAATTACAAGTCTTTACTCCTTTTAACAATCATTGATCTGATAAAATTTTCAAGGATTTTCCTCCAGCATGTTCCAAGCGCATGTGTCATAGCTTGGTTGCTTATGCCTCCTTGTCATCACTGAATGTCACTATTGATGTCCCAATAACTGTACTACCGCGATAGTGGTACATGTTATTATTTCACCGAATTCCCTTCATTACCACTAGTGCACCAGAGTATATTCTCATTACCCTATTTCTGTAACTACTTTGAGCCTTTTTTACTCTAGGGCTCCTACAGAAATAAAATTTTTCTTCAATTCCGGTACGTACCGAACATCTGTTAATATTTTGATCAATCCATCATGGTTCCTTAATTGGATTGAACCAATACCATATGCAGTAAGAAGATTGTTATTTGCGGTGTGAATAACTCCACATTCTCCTTCTTGAAAATCAACGAACCAGTCCTTGTTGGGACACATATGATAGCTACAAGCTGAATCCATCAGCCATATGTCAGATGGTTTGAATGGCTCAGTTGTAACTAGTGAGAAATTAGAGTCGTCACAATCAGCTACATTTGAATCCATGACAGCCTTCCCATTGTTAGGTTTGGCTTTATTTTTCAACTTTGGACAGTCTTTCTTCTAGTGCCCCTTTTCTCGGCAAAAGGCGCATTCATCTTTGCTGGGTCTAGATCTTGACTTGGATCTTCCTTTCTTCGTTCTCATATGATTTTGAGAACGATCTCTCATGACCAGTGCTTCTCCTTCTCCACTTTTTTATTTTTTTTCTCTTTCTTTGTTCATAGCTGTACAAGGCAGAACAAACTTCCTTGAGAGGCACTTCATCATTCTCATGAAGTAGAGTAGTTTCGAGGTGCTCGTACTCATAGGGAAGTATACTTAATAACATTAAGGCCATATCTCCATCACTAAAGATCACGTCCATATTCTGCAAATTTGTCGCCAACTTATTAAAGCTGGTGATGTGATCATTCATTGTAGTACCAAGAACATATGTGAAGCGCAACAATCTTTTTTTCATGTAAAGTTTATTTTGACTATTTTTCTTCAAGAATTTATCCTCCAATGCATTTCACAATTTACTTTAGAAGTTTCTTTTGTATATGGATACTTCTGTTCTCTTGCGAGGTAAGATCGAATGGTACCACAAGCAACGCGGTTGATAATCTTCCAATCTCCTTCTCTGATATTGTCTGGTTTATTTTATTCTATAGAAATATCTAGCCCTTGTTGAAAAAGGACATCAAGAACCTCAGCTTGCCACATCCCGAAATGTCCTGACCCGTCAAAAATTTTAACTGCAAATTTCGCATTTGACATAATTCTTGTCATAAGCGAAGATGCCAATGACGTATTACTGACACCCGATGTAGACTCTTCATTTTTATTATCTCTTATTTTTGCTACAGATACTATTTATTTGCTGACAGTACTAAACACCAAAGTAATTCTTTTATGATGTGGAAGTTTAGACTATGTTGCAACCACACAGCATACTAAGTTGGAACTTTAGTTCTAATACTAATTATTGCGGAAGCCGAATATATAGAGAGTAATTAAATCACAACTACTATATTTAAAGGTAGCTAATAAATAGTAAACGAGACAATAATAAAATGAACACCAGAAATTAACGAGGTTCGGCAAAATTTAATTTTTTCCTAGTCCTCGGACACAATTAACTCAAATTTATTTCACTCCAAAAATACAAATGAAATACTACAAGAGAGAAAAAAGATTCAAATGCCTTAGGAGATAAGAATGCAAGTGAGAGATGATTTCAAATGAACAAAACTCTTGCTATTTATAAAAGGAAAATGGCCATAATAATGTCATGCATGACATCATATTAAGTGTGAACATGCAATGTAAATACATAAAAAATGCATCTACCAAATTCTTCCTAAAAGGAGGCTTCAAATGTTCACGCTAGTTTACATTAATCTTGTCAAAATTCAACATATAAAACATTCAATCAATTTGTGTTGTAATCCAAAGATCATAGAGAAGCAAACCAAGAACTTGACAGAGCCATTGGAAAAGAAAGATGGGTAGAAGAAGAGGACTTTTCTCAGCTACCTTATGTAAAATCCATAATCAAAGAGACATTTTTTTCTCTTAATTTCCCAGGTTAAGTGGGATGCTGTATTTCATCTTAAAATAGAATGCATCCTTCAAAAAATACAGGAAGTGAAACAGGTATTTGCATCCCTGTCAAAATACGATCTAAGAGAGTTCTTAACTAACAAAGAAATTTGCCTCATCATATCTTGTCCTAATACTAGGCATTTGGCATTTATCCAATTAAAAAGGACCTTTTTCTCAATTAGAGAGTTGCTGGAAAGAGAGGTGGACAACAGCCTCTGAGCTGGATGTAGCAAACTTAGCTAACTAATCTGCCACTTGATTTGCCTCCTTAAAACAATGTGTAGAACTAACATCGGGTCGGTGCATTGCTTATGTGCATTTAGACTGCACCATTTATGTGCATTGCTTCCTTTCCATTACTCCATTGAGGATAGAAATGTTGCTGGTTAGGAAGAAATCCTAAGATTTGGGAAAGGCCAGAAGAGTTCCATTCCAGAAATATTTCATCGAAAATAACATAGACATGAACGTAAGCCATGAGGAGATTTATGGACTGACTACACGCCCATATAAGCTGATATCTACCCCTCCGTTTCAATTGTTTCAATTTATGTGAACCTGTTTGATTGGGCACGAAATTTAAGAAAAAACGAAATTTTTTGGAATTTGTGGTCCTAAATAATTCAAAAAGGGGCCCAGAGTATTTGTGTGGTTATAAAAGCTTCTCATTAAGAGTAGAATTGTAAGTTTAAGCAAAATTATTTTCAAATTTAGAAAGGGGTCATTATTTTTGGAACGGACAAAAAGAAAATAGGTTCGGGAACGGAAATAGCATGAATTATGATTATGGAACCAGGACTCCCCCGCCATCTTTATTAGTACTTCGTTCAATTCTTATCACTCTTGATCAGTTTAAGTTGTATGCTAGCATTAAATGAATCTGTTCAGAAATGACCTAGGTAATTACAATAAAATAGCCTAGTTTTACAAGTGTAGTACCGGCCAAGAGGAAGGACATGTCATAGGAATAACAGAGAAGCATATATATGGCCATTTCTTATACGCCTTGAATATTCTCATGTCTCCAAAGACTTTTCCAAGCAATGATGAAAGAGACTAATATCGAAAAATATCTTCTTTTACTGGATTACGTAAAAGTAAAAACTACTTGGGGCAAAATGAGTAGAAAAATAGTTATTCATTGATATTATTCATCAATTAATTCATTTTTTATTTGTATTAATTATGGGTCATGTCGAATTTTTTATTTGTTTTGCATTACCCGTTTTTGACCTGTCCATATCCAACCTGACCCGTCCGCTTCTGCCACTAGTTAAAACATAGCTGTTGCAACTTGCAAGAAGAAAATATCTTCCTTGTCTTTTGTTTATACTTCTGAGTTCTGTGCATCTATTAATAATCTACAAGCAGTGTTCCAATATTTACAACAGTAATGTTTTACGCAATGTACGTTGCTGGTTTAATCAGGAGTACAACAAATCGTGATTTGTTAAATCTATCATATATCCTAATGACAGCTTCCCAATTTTTCCTTCCAAATAATTCTAATACGCTTGCCAAATTGAATTCTTTAAAAGAGAGAAGCTTAACCAAGGAATAACATTTTCAGGTTCTTAAGAAATGTAAGGGTTGTTAAAAATTGAAAGAAAAAAAAAAATTGCTGCACATTCCAATTTCTTTTGAGAAGAGAGGAGGAGAGATTATACTTCGACAACTTAAAAAAATTACTTTTGGAAAAAAACAGTGTTTGGCTAATCAATTTGAAAAACAATTTTGAACAATAACTTGTGTTTGATCAAGTTTTTCAAAAAGTATTTTTATGTGTCAAATTATAAATAAGAACATAAATAGATTTGCTTAATAGTACGTAGATAAATAATTACAAATATTTATTATTAAAGATAATAATTAATTTTTTATTTTATTTAAGTAAAATATAAAAATAAAATTAAAAAGTACTTTATTCTTTCAATATAATTTAAATATATCAAAAATTCATCCAATAAATATGAAAGTTCATCCCAAAAGTCATTTTATATTACTTAATAGTTTAAACTAAGTAATATTATTTTGGTATATATAATATTTTGCAAAGGGTATTTTTGGTATGAAAAAAAAAGTCAAAACTGCTTCTGCTTCTGATTCCGGAGAAAATTTACTTTTTTCTGCTCCTTCTAGTCAAAAGCACTTATTTTCATAAAAAAAACTTGATCAAACACCTCGAGAAAAAAAGAATACTTTTTAAAAAAAAAAAAAAAACAATTTTGGCGTGGTAAGCCAAACAGGCTAGTAGTCCTAGCTAATTAGAATTATCAAGCTAGAAATAATGGAAAAAGAAGAAATTTTCCAACGTTTACTTTTCAAAGGCTGCTAAAAAGAGTTCCAAACAATAGAAACTCTGCCCCACTTAAACACTGCCATTTTCAGGCATTCAAGAACTAGCAGACTGCACTATATATATGTCTCCAAGCTTTTCTTGGCATTATCAGTAATGGAGATTTCCTCGGTTTTCATTACTTTGGGATGCTTACTAGCATTAGCTATTATTTCAAAAGTCATCATAGATCAATACCCCAAAAGAAAACTACCACCAGGTCCGAGGCAATGGCCAATTATAGGCAATTTGAACCTTCTCGGTTCACTCCCACATGAGTCTTTGCACCATCTTTTACAAAAATATGGAGATTTGATGTTCTTAAAGTTTGGTTCCAAACCTGTTCTTGTAGCATCATCTCCAGAAATGGCTAAAGAGTTCTTGAAAACACATGACGCCAGCTTTGCTTCTCGTCCTGCACTCTCTGCAGGTAAGTACACTAGCTATAACTACTCAGACATGACATGGGCACCTTATGGTGCATTCTGGCGACAAGCTCGAAAAATCTACCTCACCGAAATATTTAATCCCAAAAGGCTTGAGTCATTCAAGTATATTCGTGTTGAGGAAACACGAACTTTGATTTCTAGTCTTCACACTCTCTCAGGAAAGCCAGTTTTTCTCAAAGACCATTTACCTCGATTCACACTTAGCACTATGAGTAGGATGGTTATGAGTGGCAAGTACTATAGTGATGAATCAAAATCAAATACTTCAATAGTATCACTTGAAAAGTTGCAGTGGATGCTAGATGAATTCTTTTTGCTTAATGGGGTGATCAATCTTGGGGATTGGGTACCTTTACTGAGTTGGTTCGACTCACAAGGGTACGTAAAGAGAATGAAGGCATTGGGAAAGAGTTTTGTAGAATTTCACAAGTCTGTTCTTGAAGATCACAAGGCAAAAGCAAAGGAGAATTCAGTTCCAAAGGACATGGTTGATGTCATATTGCAGCTGGCTGATGACCCTAATCTTGAAGTTAAGCTTACTAAGGATCACTTGATGGGATTAATACATGTAAGTTTTCTTGTTATATAAAAGTTTTTAGCATAATACAACAAAGTCCAAAAAGATCGTCCGCTTTCTTTTTAAAGGGTTGTAGCGACAATTAAACTACCTATCAAAGGAATATTTCGAGTAATTTATTATTATTTTTTTGAAACCTAAAACTGCAAATCATTTGAAAAAGGCCAATCCCAGTTTTATTTTCTCAAAATATTCTATTATAGCTCATAAAGCTTCAATCGGTTCATTTTAATACTTATTTTTTTTTTCTTTTTGGCTATCTAAGCTAGGATTTGCTGGCAGGTGGAACAGATACTTCAGCTGCAGCAGTAGAATGGGCATTTCAAGAACTTTTGAGGAATCCAAAGGTTATAGAGAAGGCAAATCAGGAACTTAACAGAGTTATTGGCAAAGAACGATGGGTAGAAGAAGAGGACTTTTGTCGCCTACCATATATAGATGCCATAATCAAAGAGACATTTCGACTGCACCCACTATGTACATTGCTTCCTCCCCATTACTCAATTGAGGACTGTAATGTTGCTGGTTATGACATACCAAAGGGAACAACAGTATTTATAAATGCATGGTCTTTAGGAAGAAATCCTAAGTATTGGGATAGGCCAGAAGAATTCATTCCAGAAAGGTTCTTAGAAAATGACATTGACATAAAGGGACAAAACTTCACACTGCTGCCATTTAGTTCAGGAAGGAGGAGGTGCCCCAGATATAGCCTTGGGATTAAGGTGGTCCGCACAACGATAGCTAACTTATTGCACGGGTTCAATTGGAAATTAACTGGAGGTATGAAAGCAGAGGATATAAGCATGGAGGAAATTTATGGATTGACTACACATCCAAAGAAGCCGACATCTATGATCATGGAACCAAGACTTAGCATCCATCTTTATTAGTACTTTATTGAGTTTATTAATCTTTATCAGTATATGTGGTTTACTACCATTGAGAACTCCTACTATTTGAAGAGATGCAATCCTAATTGAAATTCCTTTGCTTTCACTTGCGTTTAGCTCTGGGATATCTGTTACATGTATAAGCTGCAAATCTTGGATCCACTTTAGGAAAGACTTAGCTAATTAAGTAGCCATTTTAAAAGTATACTGACCCAGAGGACTATCTGTATAGGGTAAAATATGATATGACACGTGGCTCACTAAGAGGAAGACACGTGGAATCCAAGATGGGATGGCTGAGGACCAAATGCAGTCACTACGCTTGTCACTGGAACGGATAACGTGCATAAAAGTGTATTAAATGATATGCGTCTAGTAGCATTTACTAAGGAATATTCTACAGCATTAAGAGTGACGGTCCTTTACAGAGAATTTGGCATTTATGCTTAACGCTACATATTCATCAATGACCCTCATAATTGGCATTAAAGGAGGGTATGATCCTAGGACCTTTTTTCCTTAGGGAGAGCTATAAATAGTGAGCTCAGTTACCATTGTAAAGGACACGAAATTTCTGGCAAGAATATATACTATATTCTATACAAAGCTTTATACAATTTCACTCTCTTGCTTTTTGATCTCATAATTGTTGTGTTCGGAAACCGTGTTCACGGAATCACTATCTTTGCTATTTCATCTAAATTTCAAGGCTAAGTGCTTTGTATTTCTTGGATTATTATATTATTTCAGGATCAAATTAGTTCATTTGTCTAGAAACCAGGTATATATTAAATTGTCCTTCCCGAGCCCTGAATTTCCTAAGTATTGTGTGACTGATATTTTCTCAGTAGTGTTAGGCCAAGTTGTGCCCTGCTTGGTCCCCTCCCAGGACAGTGGGGTTGTATTCATGAGGCTATTATTATCTAATTTACTCTTATTCCAATGGTGGGAACAATAACGTCAAGATTTTCACAAGAAAATATCTTTTTTTTTGGCTTGTTTGTCCTCTATTTTTCATCACATGCACAAATTCAAGCATGACCCTAAAAATTTATGTCACTTCATCCATCACTGTATTTATCTACACTTCTGTGTAACTCCACAAAACCAAAACCATAGCTCCAATCTTCATCTTGCAACACTGACTTATACGCAATGCACATTGTTTTCAATTATAAGTGTAAATGAATCTCCAGGATGCCCGTTTATGAATGGACTACGATTATTATCTTAATAGACTAAAAGGGAAAAACAAAAAGAAATAAGAAAAAAGACAAATTCCCTATTTTACCTAAGAGTTGTAGGAGTACTTGATTAATTAGCCAATGGTTTTACAAAAAGAATTTAATTGCACTGGATGGTTCTACAGATAAGTTCCAAAGTAAGAAAGGCTAAGGTCCACCTAGTCTCAAGTTATAATGATTCCAAATTAACTAACCTTTTTCCTTCAATTTAAATTCATAAAGAACTGCATGCGGCAGCTGATAGAGGAAAAAGTTCCATAAAGAAGAAAACTAGCAAGCTTTACACAACACATAGAAGGATGGCATTTCAATTTTTCAGAAATACTTAACCAAACAGAAACTCTTTCTCAGCAAAAGTATTTTTTTTAAAAACACTTTTGAAAAAAGCACTTCTCAAAATAAGTTGATTTTAGAAGATTGGCTAAACATGCCATTATTAGGTGACATTAGAGCCGTTTTTCAAAATATATTTGGCAATTTAAACCAATAATTTGTGTTTAGATAGTAATCTTTATAAACATAAATGATTGGTTTTGATTTAACTACAATAATTTCGACTAACAACGTTCACAATTTTCCCAGATATTTTCTCCAAAATGAGGGGGAAAAGCTGATATTTCTTGAATTTTGATGTACAAATAGATCCATAGAACCTTTCCAAGTATTAATTGTTGCGGAAGCCAAATGTATATAGTGTGAATGAGTCACAACTACTATACCAAAAATTATGACAACCACTAAATAATAAACAAGACAATAAGACAACAATAAAAGAACACCAGAATTTACGAGGTTCGGTCAATTTTGCCTACTTCCTCGGACACAATCAATATTTTATTCCACTCTAAAATTACAAGTGAAATAATACTAAAGAGAGAAGATACAAATGCCTTAAGAAGATAAAAGGCAAATGAGATGTGTATTTAAATCCTAAACATTAGGCCTCCTTTTATAGGGTGAAATTCTCATTCAAAATTGTCATCCACCGATGTGGTACTTTTGCCAATTTCAACAAATCTCCACCTTGGCAAAATTCCACATCTTCAATTTTCTCTCAATAACAAATTTTGGTTGTGTCTTCATCTTCAATCTTTAGTGTTCAACAATGTTGATCAAATCCAAACAATGTTGAAACTTGACCGCAGTCACCACTTTTGTCAGCATATCAGCAGGGTTCTCCGTAGTATGAATTTTCTTCACCGTGACTCCACCTTCTTCTATGATTTCTCGTACGAAATGATACCGAACATCAATGTGCTTCGTCCTTGCATGATAAACTTGGTTCTTCGCTAATTGAATAGCACTTTGACTATCACAAAAAATTGTGATACCTTTTTGTTCAACACCAAGCTCCTTTAGCAATCCTTGAAGCCAAATTGCCTCTTTCACAGCATCTGTAATAGCCATGTACTCTGCCTCTGTTGTAGACAAAGCAACTGTTGACTGCAAAGTAGACTTCCAACTAACTGGTGCCTTTGCAAAAGTAAACACATAACCAGTAGTTGATCTTCGTTTGTCCATATCACCCGCAAAATCTGAGTCACAATATCCAACTACAGACTGATTGTCTTCCTGCTCAAAAACTAACCCGACATCTACAGTATTATGAATATACCGTAGAATCCACTTCACAGCTTGCCAATGCTCCTTCCCTGGATTGTGCATATATCTGCTAATAACTCCAACAGCTTGTGAAATGTCAGGCCTTGTGCAAACCATTGCATACATCAAGCTACCAACAGCATTTGCGTATGGTACCTTTGACATATACTCTCGTTCAGCTTCATCCATTGGCGACATAGTAGTACTTAGCTTAAAATGGGAAGCAAGTGGAGTACTAACTGGCTTAGTCTTGTCATCTATGCCAAAACGTTGAAGTACTCTCTTCAAATATTCCTTTTGAGATAAACAGAGTTTCTTTGAACGTCTATCTCTAATTATCTCCATGCCAAGAATTTTCTTTGCCTCACCCAAATCCTTCATCTCGAACTCCTTCTTCAGTTGAATCTTCAACTTATCAATTTCTTCCGAATTCTTGGAAGCTATCAACATATCATCAACATATAGGAGAAGATATACAAAGGAACCATCTTTAAGCTTGTGCAAATACACACAATGATCGTATTTGCTTCTCTTGTACCCTTGCCGCAACATAAACTCGTCAAATCGCTTGTACCATTGTCTAGAAGATTGTTTCAATCCGTACAACGATTTTTCAAGTTTGCACACCATATTTTCTTTTCCAGCAACTTTGAATCCTTCTGGCTGAGTCATGTAGATTTCCTCCTCCAAGTTTCCATGTAAAAACGCAGTTTTTACATCCATCTGAACTAGTTCCAAATCCAATTGTGCTACCAAAGCCAACATAATTCTAATGGAGGAATGTTTTACAACTGGAGAAAACACTTCATTGTAATCAATTCCCTCCTTTTGAGCATATCCTTTGGCCACCAATCTTGCTTTGTAGCGAACATCTACTTGGTTAGGAAATCCTTCCTTCTTTGCAAATACCCATTTGCACCCAATTGCTTTCTTTCCCTTCGGGAGATTGGCCAATCTCCATGTATGATTCTGATGAAGGGACTGTATTTCATCATTCATGGCAATCCTCCACTTATCTTCTTCTGAACTTTGGACAGCGTCTTTATAAGTAGTAGGAACATCATCAGCTACAATTGAGGTTGCACAAGCAACCGTCTCTATGAGACGAACAGGTTTCGTTATTGTTCTTTTTGGCCTGCTGGTTGCTATTGATTCAAGTTGTTGTTGAGATTCCTGAGTTGGAATCTCCTCTACTGGCTCTCCTTCCAGAGGGTAATCTTCATTTGTTTCCTCCTCTGCTTCTTGTGTAGGAAAAATAAATTTTCCCTCAAACTCCACCTGCTTAGAAGCACCTTCATTTTGTTTGGTATCTTCTGTTACCTTATTTACCATAGCAAATTCATCAAAGGTAACATCTCTGCTGAATATTACTTTCTTTGTCATAGGACACCATAAGCGATATCCTTTGACTCCAGAAGTAATTCCCATAAAAATAGCCTTCTTTGCCCTTGGATCCAATTTTGACTCCGTCACATGATAATATGCAGTTGAGCCAAACACGTGCAAAGAGTTATAATCTACAGCAGGTTTTCCGTACCATTTTTCAAATGGTGTTTTGCCATCAATAGCAGCAGATGGTAGACGATTAATGAGGTGGCATGCATATGTAATTGCCTCAGCCCAAAATTCTTTGCCCAAGCCAGCATTGGACAACATACACCGTACCTTCTCCAGCAAGGTCCGGTTCATACGTTCTGCCACTCCATTCTGTTGTGGTGTATGTCTAACAGTGAAGTGTCGGATGATGCCATCATTTTCACAGACCTTATTGAAATGATCATTTTTGTATTCACCTCCATTGTCTGTGCGAATACACTTGATTCTCCTGCCTGTCTGATTCTCCACCATCGTCTTCCATTTGAGAAAAATTCCCAACACTTCATCTTTGCTCTTCATTGTATACACCCATACTCTTCGGGAAAAATCATCAACAAAGGTTACAAAATAGTGCTTCCCACCCAATGAAGGTGTTTTGGAAGGACCCCAAACATCAGAGTGTACATAATCCAAAATGCCTTTAGTATTATGGATCGCTGTACCAAATTTAACCCTTGTCTGTTTCCCTTTAACACAATGCTCACAAAACTCCAAGTTGCAAGCCTTTACTCCTTTTAACAATCCTTGATCTGATAGAGTTTTCAAGGATTTTCCTCCAGCATGTCCCAAGCGCATGTGCCATAGCTTGGTTGCTTCTGCCTCTTTGTCGTCACTGGATGTTACTGTCGCTGTCCCAATAACTGTACTGCCACGATAGCGGTACATATTATTATTCTTCCGATTAGCCTTCATTACCACTAGTGCACCGGAGCATACTCTCATCACTCCATTTTCTGCAATGATTTTGAACCCTTTTGATTCTAGGGCTCCCACAGAGATGAGATTCTTCTTCAAATCCGGTACATATCGAACATCTATCAATGTTCTGATCATTCCATCATGGTTCCTTAATCGTATTGAACCAATGCCATATGAGGTAAGAGGGCTGTTATCCGCTGTGTGGATGACTCCATATTCTCCTTCTTGAAATTCCACGAACCAGTCCCTGTTGGGACACATATGATAGCTACAAGCCGAGTCCATCAACCATATGTCTGATGATGTTGATGACTCTGTTGTAACTAATGAGAAGTCTGAATCATCACAATCAGCTACATTTGAATCCATAATGGCCTTTCCATTGTTATGTTTGGCCTTATTCTTCAACTTCGGACAGTCTTTCTTCCAGTGCCCTTTTTCTCGACAAAAGGCACATTCATCTTTGCTGGGTCTGGATCTTGACTTGGATCTTCCCTTCTTTGTCCTCGTTTGATTTTGAGGACGACCCCTCACAAATAGTGCTTCTCCTTCTCCGCCCTTCTGTTTTTCTCGCTTTCTTTGTTCATAGCTGTACAAAGCCGAACAAACTTCTCTGAGAGAAATTTCGTCATTTCCATGGAGTAGAGTAGTTTCAAGGTGCTCGTACTCATTAGGAAGTGACCCCAACAACATCAAGGCCAAGTCACCATCATCAAAAGTTGCATCCATATTTTGCAAATCTGTGACCAACTTATTGAAACTGGTGATATGTTCATTCATCGTGGTACCAGGAACATAGGTGAAGCGAAACAGTCTCTTCTTCATGTACAATTTATTTTGACTGTTTTTCTTCAAAAATTTATCCTCCAGTGCTTTCCATAATTTACTTGCAGAAGTTTCCTTTGTGTATGGATATTTCTGCTCTCTAGCAAGGTAGGATCGAATGGTACCGCAAGCAACACGATTGATAATTTTCCAATCTTCTTCTCCAATAACATCTGGCTTCTTTTCTTCAATGGCAAGATCTAGCCCTTGTTGAAAAAGAACATCTAGAACCTCGCCTTGCCACATCCCAAAATGTCCTGACCCGTCAAAAATTTCTACCGCAAATTTCGCATTTGACACAATTCTTGTCATAAGCGAAGATGCCAACGATGACGTATTATTGACACTTGATGTAGATTCTTCTTGTTTACTGTCTCCCATTTTGACACAAATATTATTTAGTAGCTGACGACACAAATCAAGATTATTTCCTTTCTGGTGTGGAAGATCAGACTAAGCTGCAACCACAGAGCATACTCAGATAGAACCTTGACTCAGTTACCAAGATAGATCTTTTCTGATGTGGAAGATCAGACTATGCTGCAACCACAGAGCATACTTAGACAGTACCTTGGCTCTGATACCAATTGTTGCGGAAGCCAAATGTATATAGTGTGAATGAGTCACAACTACTATACCAAAAATTATGACAACCACTAAATAATAAACAAGACAATAAGACAACAATAAAAGAACACCAGAATTTACGAGGTTCGGCCAATTTTGCCTACTTCCTCGGACACAATCAATATTTTATTCCACTCTAAAATTACAAGTGAAATAATACTAAAGAGAGAAGATACAAATGCCTTAAGAAGATAAAAGGCAAATGAAAGGTGTATTTAAATCCTAAACATTAGGCCTCCTTTTATAGGGTGAAATTTTCATTCAAAATTGTCATCCACCGATGTGGTACTTTTGCCAATTTCAACATTAATTACTTCTCAAGGTTGCTAAGAATTCCAAACAGTTGGAACTATACTCTGACATTGTTGTCCTACTCTATTTACATATAATCCTTTTTCAGGCTTTAAAAACTAGCAAGATAGCATTATAAATCTAAAAGCTTCCCCTGGCACTTCCTATATATTCAACTGTAGTAATCCATTGTACAAGAATGGAGATTACTTCGGTATTCATAGCCTTGGCATGGCTTCTAGCATTAGCTATTATTTCAAAAGTTATCAACCATCTATGCCCCAAAACAAAGCTACCACCAGGACCAAAGCCATGGCCAATTATTGGCAATTTGAACCTTATTGGTTCAATCCCACGTGAGTCTTTGCACAATCTCTCACAAAAATATGGAGATCTAATGCACCTAAAGTTCGGTTCCAGGCCTGTTCTGATAGCATCTTCCCCAGAAATGGCGAAAGAGATTTTGAAAACACATGATGCCATCTTTGCTTCTCGCCCTGCATTAGCTGCTGGTAAGTACCTTAGCTTTAACTACTCAGACATGTCATGGGCACCTTATGGTGCAAAGTGGGGCCAAGGTCGAAAGATCTACATAACCGAGATATTTAATCCCAAAAGGCTTGATTCCTTCAAGTACATTCGTGTTGAGGAAGGGAGAAATTTGATTTCTCATCTTTTTGCTCTATCAGGAAAGCCAATTTTTCTCAAAGACCATTTACCTCAATTTACACTTTGCACTATAAGTAGGATGGTTATGAGTGGCAAGTACTACTGTGATAAGTCAGAATCTAATGATACAATAGTGACACTCGAAAAATTGCAATGGATGCTAGAAGAATGGTTTATCCTTGGTGGGGTGGTTAATATCGGGGATTGGATACCTTGGCTTAATTGGCTTGACTTGCAAGGGTACGTAAAGCGAATGAAGGCTTTGGAGAAAACCATGGTAGAATTTCACAATTATGTGCTTGAAGATCACAAGGCTAAAGCAAAGGAGAATTCTCATCCAACGGACATGGTTGATGTCTTGTTGCAACTAGTTGATGACCCTAATCTGGAAGTTAAGCTCACGACCAATCATCTAATGGGGTTAATCCTCGTAAGTATATCCTTTTTCTTCTTTTCTTTTGGACTTATTGTTAGTATGGTGCGACAACTAGAGTACTAAAAGATTGACCATCTTTTTAAGGCTTTTACCCACAACCGCATATATTACATGAGTACTTTGATAATTCATCACTATTTTTTTTCTTAAACCTAAAAGCTTAATATAGGGTTGATCCCAGTTTTATTTTCTCAATTTTAACATATTATACAATTTTCTATTATAGCTTATAAAACCTTCAATGTATTTATTTGTACTTGCATTTTCATTGTGTTATAAATATAAATACCAGGATTTGTTGGCCGGTGGAACAGATACTTCAGCAACAACTGTAGAATGGGCATTTCAAGAATTAATGAGGAACCCAAAGATCATTGAGAAGGCAAACCAAGAACTTGACAAAGCCATTGGGAAAGAAAGATGGGTAGAAGAAGAGGACCTTTCCCAACTACCTTATATAGAAGCCATAATCAAAGAGACATTTAGACTGCACCCTTTAACTACATTACTTGCTCCGCATTACTCCATTGAGGACTGCAATGTTGCTGGTTATGACATACCAAAGGGAACAACAGTATTTGTAAATACATGGTCTTTAGGAAGAAATCCTAAGTGTTGGGATAGGCCAGAAAAATTCATTCCAGAAAGGTTCTTAGAAAATGACATTGACATAAAGGGACAAAACTTCACACTGCTCCCATTTGGTTCAGGAAGGAGGAGGTGCCCCGGATATAGTCTCGGGATTAAGCTTGTTCAGACAACGCTGGCTAACTTGTTGCATGGATTCAACTGGAAATTATCTGGAGATATGAAGCCAGAAGATATAAGCATGGAGGAAATTTATGGATTGACAACACACCCAAAGAAGCCGACATCTATGATCATGGAACCAAAACTTAGCCCCCATCTTTATTAGTACTTTCTTGAGTACTTATCAATCTTGATCGGTGTAACTTGTACTAGCGTTCAACATTCTACTCTACTTCATGGAATAATTCATAAAATTGCTTCGTTTTTCCTTCTTGTTCCACCCTGTAAAAACTACTGCATACATAAGCTAGAGGTGATGAATCTGCTTTGAAAAGACTTAGTTTTACAAGTGTACTGGCCAAGAGGAAGGAAATGTTACAAGAATAACCTAAAATTATATGGCCCGTTCATATGGACCCTTAGAGATGGCAAGCTGATCACGCCCAACTACGCCTTATAAAAAGGACTAAGCTGTCGTTGCAAATTTATTCCGGTTAATAAGTCCGGAGTCAAATCCCACAGGGAATTCACCTATCAAACACAGCTACTAGACTCGCACGAACTCACACAATCAATCTTCAGAAATAGTTAAGTAACAATTTGGATGTTTACTAACTAAATATTACGTAATGAAAGTGCAACTATTAATAACTAACTACTACGGTTTGTAGACAAGAATTGGAATGATCTAAGGTTGTGATTTCCCCTATTGTCAGAATCCTTTTCGCTACGTCCTCTATAAATTTTCCTAGGACTTTTCTATCGATCATGAGCACTCTAACTATCGTAACTGTCTCCCGAGTAATTACCATAATTTACTAGACATATTCTCCCGAATTACGCTAGTTGGCATTAATTATGGCTCACTCGGATCGGACCAAGGTTTCGTTATCCCTAATCCCACCTTTAAACCCTTCGTATTGATCCCTCATATATGTTAGGAGTGATGTTGTTCAACAACTACCTAAATATGCACTCTCTCCCGAGTAATACACACTAAATAGACACAGTCGATTGAGGTCCCTTCAATCAACAACAATAATAATATAGTTAAGCAAATAGAGAAAATACAACGGCAAATCTATATTAATGTAACATGAAAATCATCCTCCAATAGGTTCCATCAAAACCCTAGATTAGAAGTTTAGCTACTCATACTCATAGTCACAATATCCAAAGTATTTTGCATAATTAAATTACAAAGTAAGGATAAAGGGATGTAAAAATCGATGAGTCTAACTCCCAACGGTTGTTCCATGAGCTATCATTGCCTCTAGTTGCAAAAGTGCTCAAAAGTGGCGTTTTTAGGTCTACTTATATGTGTAGGAAAAAACCTAAATGTGTAGGCCAAGTCCTAGTCAAACCAGGAGAAAAATAAGTTTTTAAAACTCGGAATGTGCACGCCCAGACCTGGCCTCGCGAGGTCTACCGCCAGCTTGAGCTCGCCCCAGGCCTGGCGTCGCCAGCTCCAATGCCTGGTGGACCTCGCTTTACCCTTCTCTTGGCCTGCTCTAACGCGTGTGAAAGGCCTGGCGTCGCCTGCTCTAATGCCCACTTTAGGCCTGGCTTCGCCAGTTTCCTCATTCGTAGGCTGGTCACTTCTTTCTTTCTTCTTTTCAGTTGTTTTCGAGCACACTTTAGACTTTAGAATTTTCTTTTGCTCTACTTTCATCTCCAATTCACCTATACATAAAATAGACCCCGTTACGCATAATTAAAGTGTAGTTTATCATTAAAGCATATAAAATGTAAGGCAAATAATGTACGGAACTATGGAATTATAGTCACATAAATACTTCACACTTAAACATTGCGCGTCCTCGTGCAATCAAACCACACTTACAGACACAACCTCACTAAGCAATTTCCTTAACTCATTACACCAAGAATATTTAAAATAGTCGAAGCACCAAGGTGTAACATCCTCGCCTCAAGATTTGACTCACAATTACCATGACTTATTCACAATTCACTTACTTACTCTAACATGGAGGTCAACGATATTACCCTTTATTTATGAATCACGTGACCTCACCCAACGAAGAGCTCAATTCCACACACAATGAATTTTAAGAACGTAGGAACTCAAGATAGGAAAAATTCACTCGATCTCAGAAATAATATTCATATGCCACAAATGATGCATCATAGGCTTGCCCGTAGTGTAATACTTTACTAATCAAGCTCATTTAGTCTAAGATCAAGTAGGACTTTGACTTGTTGTAATATAGGCTATGGGTCGGGTAGAATTCATTTGGATATAAGTGACTGCACCTCCCTTAAGCACTTTAATACATACACTTTAACATTCAAGCCCATACTTATGTCAAACCAANATCACTTCCTAGACTGAACAAGACTACTTTTTCGCTTTGCACACACACGGGACAAGTTCTAGACACCAAATGCAATGCACACAATACATATAAAAACTCACATAGACATGGCACATAACTCACTCAGGATTGGTTTCATCGCGACACTCCGGTCCAAGCAGTTACGCAAAATTAAGAATCTATGATTTAAGGTACTTATACTAGAGTAAAAAAACACCCGAGCCTAAGCGTCACAACCATAGTACTAACTATTCTCTAGGCATAACAAAGCTAAGAGATATTGTTGCAATTGAATGCATAGCCTCGTGGTTCCTACTCCTAAAAATTAAAACTAACTACACCTGGTTCAACTAAAAGTCGTTGGAAAAGAACCGCGGCCCAAAAAAAACCAAGGGAGAATTACTACACTACCTACAAGAAAAAAATCTTTTTGGTATTTTTCCTAGACTTACTTCCCTCAAGAAAATTGTCTAGGAGATCCATCATCGGGAAGAGTCCAGTTTTTCTATATATATTTTTTACTTTTTTTTTTGTTTTTTTTGTTTTTTATTTTCTAACTAAAACAAATCGCTAAAATAAATTCTTAAAACAAATAACTAAAACAATTATCTAATGAAAACGATACTTACTAAAATAATAAAAACAAGAAACTACAAGTAATTTCTACAAGTCCCCACCCCACACTTAGATCATACATTGTTCTCGGTGCATGCACAAATTGACAAAATAAGAAACATGAGTAGGGTGCACGGAAACTCCCTGATCAAACTGCGTCCTCATCCTCTGAGGCTCTCCACTCTTCAGCATGTGCTTCCTCCTCCTCATCATCATCGTCCTCTTCATTTGACTGCTCTGGCTCGGCCTCAGACTGCTCAAGTGTGTTGATATCCTCATCATCAGGAAGTCTGTAGCCATCACCTATCCCAACCAGCTGTTGGGCATGAGCATTGAGCGGGTACCGCTGCTCCAATAAGGTCATATCCTCAGATGTGTCCGGCCGACCTCCTATCCTCAGTTGCAAATCCATCATCCTATAGAGATGGGCCATAAAACTATCATCACGAGCATTGTGCTCGGCCCCTGTCAAAGATGTCATGGCAGTCTCTTCTTTCAGTAGGAGACTAGTGATGTCCGTTTGTCGTAGGGGCTGATCGATGGTGTGTCAAACTCTAGCTCCTCCGCAACCTCCTCGTGTCTTAAGAACTGATTTAGAAAATTGGCAAATGGCATACGATCGACCTTCTTACTCATTCTGACTAAAGACATCTGGTAGCGGATCAGATGACCCGCATTCACCCTTTGACCCATCATGAGGAAGTAGAGCGCACAAGTCCTCTCACGGCTAATGAGTGTGTAATGATTGCACGGTAGGAGCCGTGCATTTATCAGTTTAAGCCACACTTGAGCCTCCAGACTTATCTTCTTCTTGGGGAACCTCTTGTGTTGATTTGTTTTCTTATCCCAGACCCATGTTATCGTAGAATCGACACCACAAAGCGTGTGTCTCATATCTCTATATGTAGGCCGGCGAATGAAGTGGTACAATGGCTCCACAGGAACATCTGGAGCACCTAAAAAGTTACATATGGCCGCGGTTGTAAAATCTATCAATCGTCTATGAATTGGCATCATCTGTTCAGTATCATGTGGATCAAACCCTGCATAGAATTCTCGGACTAGATTGAGATTAATATCCCCTGTGTTCTTGAATACATAGCTCAACCCTAAATCCCGGATGCCCCTCCAAATTGCCTGATATTTTGCTTTCAAGTTGCGTTCATGGATGACTGCTTCTGGGTGTACATATTTAGGCCTACAACGCTTGTACCAATCCTTAGTGTGTGAGGGTATGTTGTTGATGACAAACTCTCGTTGGCCTTGGGGTTGTGGACGCATGGCTGCTACAGCTGCCACAACTTGTGCTCCACTTAGATTGGAGGTAGCTTCTCCCCCATTTGTCTTCTTTGGGGGAGGTGTGGAGGTCACCTTTGCTTTAGCCGGAGCAGTGGAAGTAACCTTTCCTTTGCCGGTGTATTTTCTTGGAGGCATAGTCGTTCCTACACAAGTAATCATTAATCAGTTAAAACTGCATTACGATATGACATGCATGATCTTGCCCAAATTCCCGAGGTTACTCAGACTTCACCTCGTATTTCTTAACATGAGAGTCAAAAAATAGCACATGGGTGCTTCCTCTGATTTTGAAGCATCGGGCTACCAGTGAGGCACTCCACACTTAAGATCTTAATATGGTGCGAGACTACATAACATTAGTCTATTAATCCCGGAGACTCGGGCTCCAATGGGGACCAAGGAATAACATTGAAGCATTATACCAAACACTTAGCATGCACTAGTGCCATAGGAGTGCTTGTAGAGGTAAGGGATTGCCTCACCCTCCCAAATCGGCTTGGGAGTTTCTTACTACCACTTGTTTACACAATAACAACACCATTCCTATAGGGTGGGGACACAGAAATAGAATATTACAATGAAGAACAACCTCAAATTTTGTGGCTAATTTCATACCTTCATCCAACTCGAAATTGAGAAAAAAAGGAGATAAAAATCATACCTTAGATGTTGTAAGATGTGGGCTTTTCCTTTTGACTGTTGTTTCCAGTGAATGGAAGAGGAACAACTTGCTTTACTTCAATGGGGTTGGGATGGGGATGGATGGAAGTGTATGTGCGTGAGTGTTTTGTGAGGAGTATTTTGTGAGGAGTGTAGTGATTTAGGTTAGGGTTTTAGTTTATGTTAGTTTGGGCGTTTAAGTTAGAGTCCAACAAGGGAGGGGTTAAAAGAAATAAGGGACAAAAATTAAAATAAGATGAAGAAAACTACTTAGCTGGCGACGCCTGCCTAAGTACATGGCCTCAACCCATGCGACGCCAGGCGAGGCGAGCTCAATCGCCAGCTATACCTAGCCTCAGCCCTAGCGAGGCGAGATCTATCGCTAGCTATACCTGGCCTCAACCCTCACGAGGCGAGCTCCCCCGCTTGGTTTCCTTCATGTTGCGCGAAAACTCTGCTCGTCCTTCCCAAAATCACCTGCAAACTTGTTAGTACCTAAAAACGAAAAGAAATATTCGAATAACACTAAAAAACAACTATGAATTGGGTTGCCTCCCAACGAGCACCTTAGTTAACGTTGTGGCATGACGGATACAATAGTACAATGGGTTGCCTCCCATGAACTGCATAATTTAACGTCACAGCACGACGCCGGTGAGCGCATTTAATGCTCTCTCAATGTTGGTGGCGCTAGCAAATGAGTCACTGACACTACTTTCGCGTCATCCATGCCCAATTCTTGCCCAAAATCACCTGCAAACTTGTTAGTACCTAAAAACGAAAAGAAATATTCGAATAACACTAAAAAACAACTATGAATTGGGTTGCCTCCCAACGAGCACCTTAGTTAACGTTGTGGCATGACGGATACAACAGTACAATGGGTTGCCTCCCATGAAGTGCATGATTTAACGTCATGGCATGACGCCGGTGAGCGCATTTAATGCTCTCTCAACGTTGGTGGCGCTAGCAAATGAGTCACTGACACTACTTTCGCGTCATCCATGCCCAAATAATGTTTTAACTTGTGCCCATTGACTCTGAATATGCGAGAGTCATTTTCTGCAGCAATATCTACGGCACCAGTAGGGTGAATCTCTACCACACGAAATGGTCCTGACCATCTTGACTTTAATTTGCCCGGAAATAACCTCAATCTTGAATTGTATAGTAATACCATATCTTCGGGGTTTAAAACTCCACTTAAGGATGTTTTTGTCATGCATTATCTTCATTCTCTCTTTGTATAGTCTTGTGCTCTCAAAAGCGTGGTAGTGAAACTCATTAAGCTCGTGCAACTCTGTGACTCTACTTGTACCCGCAGCTTCTATATCGAGATTAAGCTGCCTCAATGCCCACAAATCTCTATGCTCCAACTCCACTAGTAAGTGGCATGCCTTCCCAAATACCAATTTATATGGCGACATGCCAATCAAAATTTTAAAAGCGGTACGATAGGCCCAGAGTGCATCATCTAATTTTCTCACCCAATCCGTTCTTGTAGCATTCACAGTCTTTGTCAAAATGCTCTTTATCTCGCTGTTTGTGACTTCCACTTGCCCACTCGTTTGTGGCTGATATGGGGTGGCAACCTTGTGGCGTACATCATAGTTTTCTAACAACTTTGCGAAGGCTCGATTACAGAAGTGAGTGCCTCCATCACTGATTATTTCCATTGGAGTGCCAAATCGGGTGAATATATTCTTTCTCAAAAAACCAATTACCCCCTTTGCATCATTTGTAGGGAGCGCTACAGCCTCCACCCATTTTGACACGTAGTCCACAGCTACGAGTATGTACTTGTTGTCGTATGAGCTAATGAAAGGCCCCATGAAATCAATTCCCAATACATCAAACACTTATACCTCCTGAATTGAGTTCATAGGCATCTCATGTAGGAGCGAAATATTCCCAGTTTGTTGGCATTCGTCACAACCCTTCACCCATAAGTGTGCATCTTTGAATAATGTCGGCCAGTAGAAGCCTGACTCCAGCACTTTAGCAACTGTCCTTACTCCCCTGAAATAGCCACCATATGGTGACGCGTGACAAGCCTGCAAAATAGAATATTGGTCTATCTCGGGGATACATCTCTAAATCATGTTACCAACACAAATCCTGAATAGATAGGGCTCATCCCAATAATACGTGTGACAGTCACGAAAGAACTTTTTCTTTTGAATAGAAGAAAGGTCATAGGGAACAATACCGCTTGCCAGGTAGTTTGCAATGTCTGTATATAATGGCGCTACCTCAAGACTCGTGGCTAGTAATTGTTCATCCGGGAAAGTCTCCACAATCTCTTCCCCCTCAACCTTCTTTTCGGCTCCTTCCAGCCTCGACAAGTGATCAGCTACTTGGTTCTCCATTCCCTTTCGGTCATAGATTTCTAAGTCAAATTCTTGCAGAAGTAGCACCCATCGAATCGGGTGCGACTTTGACTCCTTCTTATTAATTAGGTACCTGAGAGCAACATGGTCAGTATAAGTAATTACCTTCGAGCCTATCAGGTATGACCTGAATTTGTCAAATGCGAACACCACTGATAGAATCTCCTTCTCGGTCATTGTGTAATTTAGTTAGGCACCACTCAAAGTTCTACTTGCATAATATATTGGATGCATGACTTTGTCTTTGCGCTACCCGAGCACTGATCCCACAACATAGTCGCTTACGGCACACATCAGCTCAAATAGTTGCTCCCAGTCAGGTGCAACTATGATAGGTGTTATCACCGGTCTCTTCTTTAATTCCTCAAAAGCTACCATGTAGTCATCAGAAAACACAAAAGGGTGAGCTTTTTCAAGTAATTTACACAGGGGTTAGCAATTTTGGAAAAATCTTTTATAAACCATCTATAGAACCCGGCATGGCCAAGGAAACGTCTTATTGTTTTGACGGAAGTGGGTGGTGGAAGCTTTTCGATCACATCAACATTTTCACGATCTACCTCAATTCCCTTACTCGACACTTGGTGCCCCAAGACTATACCTTCCTGTACTATGAAATGACACTTTTCCCAATTGAGTACCAGATTAGTCTTGACATATCTTTTCAACACTCTTTTCAAATTCCTTAGGCAATCATTGAATGAGTCTCCCACCACCGAGAAATAATCCATAAAGATCTCCATGATGTCCTCTACCATATCAGTGAAGATGACCATCATGTACCTTTGAAATGTGGTGGGTACATTGCATAGGCCGAACGACATCCTCCGGAAGGCGTAAACGCCATATGGACAGGTGAATGATGTTTTCTCTCTATCTTTCGGGGCAATGGATATTTTATTATACCCCGAGTATCCATCCAGAAAAAAAAAGTGGGACTTCCCGACCAATCTATCTAGCATTTGATCAATGAACGGCAAGGGAAAATGGTCTTTTCGGGTGGCCTTGTTCAATCTTCTATAGTCCATACAAATTCGCCATCCCGTGACTGTTCTTGTTGATATCAACTCATTGTTCTCGTTTTGCACTAAAGTCATACCACCTTTCTTAGGCACACATTGGACTGGGCTGATCCAGTTGCTATCGGAGATGGGGAAAATGATCCCCGCATCTAACCACTTTATCACTTCCTTTTTCACAACTTCCTTCATGTTGGGGTTCATCCTTCTTTGATGTTCTCTGGAAGGTTTGTGGCCATCTTCCAGTAATTCTTATGCATACAGAAGTCCGAGCTGATCCCCTCAATGTCTGTAATGGTCCAACCGATTGCAGTTTTGCACTCACTCAATACCTGCAAAAGCTGTTCTTTCTGTACATCTAACAAACCAGATGAGATAATAACAGGTAAAGTTGAGTTAGGTCCCAAGAAAGCATACCTGGGGTGAGATGGTAGCGATTTCAATTCCAACTTTGGTGGCTCTTCTATCGATCGCTTAGCTGGAGGAATATTTCTTTCTTCTAAGTGCAAAGAATCAAATTCGAGCTCTCTTTTCCAAACCCCTTGGCCTTCAAGAGCCCGCACCCACTCCGCCAAATCTTCTCAATTTACTTCATCTAAGTTCAAGAGACATGCTGCTAAAGGGTCCTTATCGTTCAAGGTCTCATCTTCCTCCTCCAAAATTACATCCACGGCTTCTATTAGAGAGCAGTTAGCAAATTCACTTGGTCGCCGCATAGATTTCTGCACGTTGAATGTTATCTCTTCATCATTTAGTCTCATTTTGAGCTCTCCAGTTTCATAGTCAATTAAAGCTCTCCCAGTGGCCAAGAATGGTCTTCCCAAAATTATGGGAATCTCCTCGTCAACCCGGCAGTCTAGAATGACAAAATCTGTTAGGAACACAAACTTCCCAACCTAGACTAATACATCATCAAGGATACCAGAGGGCCTCTTCACTATCCGGTCGGCTAGTTGTAGTAACATGGGCATGGGTCTAGCTCTTCCTATGCCTAACCTTTTGTAGATAGCCAATGGCATCAAGTTTATGTTTTCCCCTAAATCACACAAGGCTTTAGCAAAATCATAGTTGTCTATCGTGCATGGGATTGTGAAACTCCCTGGGTCTGATAACTTCTCAGCTATGGGTCTCGTCACGACTGCACTACAGGTCTGTGTCAATGTAACAGTGGACAGGTCATGGAAGTCGAATTTTCGAGACATTAAATCTTTCATCATTTTGGCATACCCAGGCATCTCTCGCAACACATCAATCAGTGGAATGTTCACTTGTATTTGTTTCAACATCTCCATGAATTTCTTATATTGCTCGTCCTTATGATATTTTGCCAATCTCTGCGGGAATGGTTCTGGAGGTCGCTTCTTTCCTGTTAATTGAATTTTATCTTGCTCAGGCACTGCTTCTACTGTCGTTTCTTGTGCTACCTCAGTCTCCTTCGCAACCTTTCTTTCTTTGCTTGTGCTCTCTTGTGCATGTTATACCGTCACCTCAGTTAACCCTGTTGATTCATCGATCTCAGTGGGTACTGGCACAAGTGTTTCAGTAGGTCATCTTTCGTGAGAAATATCTTTCTCCAGATCTATGTCTCTACCATTTCGTAGACTCACTACCATAAGCTGTTTCGGGCCCTGATCTTTTGGATTGATTTATGTGTCTGCAGGTAACGTCCCTTGGGGACGATTGTTTAGAGCCAAAGAAATCTGTCCTAATTTAACCTCAATACCCTTTATCGTTGATTCATGTGAGTCCACTCTGTCTTTCATTTTTTCGGTGGACCCAATTAGTTGTTGCAGCATTCTGTTGTTGCTGTCCAGCATTCCCTTAAGTTCAGCAAACCCATCCCCTTGTCTCATAATCTATTTTTGTTGAGGTTGTTGATAAGCCAGCTGCTGATTTTGCTGGTTGTAACCTTGTTGCCTTTGGTAAGGCACCACTTGACCCTGTGGTCGCATAACTCCAGGATTGTTGTTGTTATTGTACTTCTGCTGTGCTGGTCTATATTGTTGATTCTATTGACCCCAATTCTAACCACCTTGCCTCTGTCCCACATAGTTGGCTACATAGTTCATATCTTCGTGATAGTGATGGTTGTCACCTTCCACACTCCACGAGCATACATAAGGTTGGTTAATGCATAGGTGTACATAAGCCCCCATTAGTTATGTCAACTATGTGTACCTGCTACTTCTGACCTGATTCATCAATTATTTTTAGTGAGGATACTCATTTGCGTCATTAGAGTAGCCATATTTTTGGCTATAGAGTTGTTTGGGTCCAAAGCCACATCGTGAACTACAGGAGTAATCGTAGAGTCTCTTGTCATCCATCTTGAGTTTTGAGCCATTTTATAGAGTAGGATCTTGCATTCTCTGAATGATTTGCTCAAAAATGCTCCACCCGCTGAAGTATCAACATTAGCCTTTAAGTTGTCTGCCAATCCCATGTAGAACCTCTGCCCCAACATTTTCTCTGGAATGCCATGATGTGGACAATTAACAAGCATACTCTTGAACCTCTCCCACATTTCTTGTAGTGTTTCTGTTGGTCTATGCCTGAAGCTAAATATCTCACCAATTTATTTGGTAGTCTTATTGGGTGGGTAGAACTTGTTTACAAATTGCTTGACTAATTCCTCGCACGTAGTGATGGAGTTTATCGTAGAGTCTCACATTAGGATCTTGCATTCCTGTCACCGAGAATGGAAACAATAATAGTGCATCCGGTGTCACATTAGGTTGCCTTTGTGTGACACATATCGACAGGAAATTTTTCAGATGTTGCTAAGGATCTTAAATGTAAGACCCTGAAAATAGTCCATTGTTCTGCAACAAATGTAGCATGTTGTTTGTGATTTGAAATGATTTCACTTGTATTTGAGGGACTGCAATTGCGGTCACCAGATTTTCGGTTGTGGGTTGTGCCCAATCATACAAGGCTGCTTCTGGAACAAGAGGCTCCACACCCTGATTGTTCGGGTCATTATTTCTGTTATTTGAATTTTCTATTACATCATCCATGTCTAGTTTGATTCGTTCTGTTGAGTTCTATTGTTTCCTGTCCTTCTTGTTTGCACGATTCAATGCCTTGAAAACTTTTTCAGGATCTGATAATGCTTCAAGCAATTCACCAGTTCTCGAGGAGTTCCTAGGCATGCACCTGTAACACCCAAGACTACAAACGTTAAAATTTCAATGTATTTGGTTTACAAACAAATGAAGAAAATTGACTACACTAAGTATTCTAGGAATTCTTTTAGCTGCAATTAATACACCGTTAATTATCCGGCAATGACATCAAAATTTGATCACGCCCAACTATGCCTTATAAAAAGGACTAAGCGGTCATTGCAAATATATTCCGGTTAATAAGTCTGAAGTCGATTCCCACAGGGAATTAACCTATCAAACACAGTTATTAGACTCGCACGAACTTAAGCAATCGATCTTCAGAAATATTTAAGTAATAATTTGGATGTTTAGTAACTAAATATTACGTAATGAAAGTGCAACAATTAATAACTAACTACTACGGTTTGTAGATAAGAAATGAAATGATCTAAGGTTGTGATTTCCCCTATTGTCGGAATCTATTTCGCTACGTCTTCTATAAATTTGCCTAGGACTTCTCTATCGATCATGAACACTCAGACTGTCGTAACTCTCTCTTGAGTAATTACCACAATTTACTAGATATATTCTCCCGAATTACGCTAGCTGGCATTAATTACGGCTCACTCGGAGCGTACCAAGGTTTTGTTATCCCTAATCTCACCTTTAAACCCTTCGTATTGATCCCTCATATACGTTAGGAGTGATGTTGTTCAACAACTACCTAAATATGCACTCTCTCCTGAGTAATACACACTAAATATGTACAGTTGATTGAGGGCCCTTCAATCAACAACAATAATAATATAGTTGAACAAATAGAGAAAATACTACGATAAATCTATATTAAAGTAACATGAAAACCATCCTCCAATAGGTTCCATCAAAACCCTAGATTAGACGTTTAGCTACTCATACTCATAGTCACAATATCCAAAGTATTTTGCATAATTAAATTACAAAGTAAGTATAAATGGATGTAGAAATCGATGAGTCTAACTCCCAACAGTTATTCCACGAGCTATCCTTACCTCTGGTTGCAAAAGTGCTGAAAAGTGATGTTTTTAGGTCTATTTATATGCATAGGAAAAGACTTAAACGTGTAGGCCAAGTCCTAGTTAAACCAGGAGACGAGATAAGTTTTTAAAACTCGGAATGTGTACGCCCAATCCTGGCCTCGCGAGGTCTACCGCCAGCTTGAGCTCGCCCCAGGCCTGGCATCGCCAGCTCCAAAGCCTGGTGGACCTCGCATTACCCTTCGCCTGGCCTGCTCTAACACGTGCTAGAGTCCTGGCATTGCCTGCTCTAACGTCCACTTTAGGCTTGGCTTCGCCATCTTCCTCATTCGTTGGCTGCTCACTTCTTTCTTATTTTCCATTATTTTCGAGAACACCTTAGACTTTAAGTATTCCTTTTTCTCTACTTTCATCTCCAATTCACCTACACATAAAATATACCCCGTTACGCACAATTAAAGTATATTTTATCATTAAAGCATATAAAATGCAAGGCAAATAATGTATGAAACTATGAAATTATAGCCACACATCACAAGCGGTGTGTGGCAGTGCGGGTGCGGATCGAGTTTTCTCTTAACCCGCAAACTTTCAACCCGCCCCGCCCTGCCTCACATAGCAGGTGCACCANACCAAGATTTTTTTTTACGCTTTTATGATATATACTCGTACTTTTATTAATTCTAAAAAATACAGAAAACTTCAGTTATGGAAAGAAGAAGATAATATACTGATGAGAATTAAATTTTGCATATATGCAACAAATTACTTAACAAAAATCTTTGATATCATAATACCATATTACAACTGTTTTATGTGACTAAAATAAGTGTTTTCTTTTTATTTTTGCTTTTTACAATACTTTATATTATATTTTCTTTGAGGCCAAAGTGCAAAAATCAAGATCTGCCATCTATGGGCCATATGCAATAATTGACCAATTAAACACATTGTACAGTTACATTAGCTCTACAGCTCAGTTAAATTTCGTGTATATTGTATTTACTAAGAGTAAGTAAGATCAAATCATGATCTTAACATATCAAAATCTCGTGTTTCGATTTATCATAGAAAATTTAGCAAAAAATAATGTAAAACGACAAGTACAACAGATATATTAACTTGTTTAAATATAATTTACAGCTGCTCGAAGTACTTATCGTTTAAACAATCATGTGTTAGATATATTACTTTGATCAATAAAATAGATTTATAATTAATAAATAATTATGTGTTAGATATTACATTATCATAACTTTTCATAAAAGAATAAGAATTTGACGTGCAAGCATTGGGTTCAAAGTTCAAATAATATGAAACTTTATTTTGTTTCAATATATTACGCGGAATCAATTTTATCTTTAGAAAGTTAGAAAATTGAGTTTCCTTCTTTGATGAAGTTTTTAAACCCGCACCCGCATAGATTTAAAAAAAAAATTATTTTGACCCGTACCGCACCCACATATGTATAAACCCGTAGCGCCCCGCATGTGTCTAAACCTGCACCGCCCCATTGTCATCCCTATGGACCCTGAATATCTTCAGTGTTGTGTGTCTACTATTTACTTGATTGTAGCATATGTTGCACGGACTCTCCAAAAATACAGTCACACCTGTGTCGGATCCTTAAAAAATGCACTACTTTTAAAGAATCCGACATGCATCACTTACACTTTCGGAGAGAGCAAGCAACCAGCCATATCTTACTTTTGGGTGTTACTATTTGTTAGATGGCGCAAGATTTTTCCAATCAATCATGGATGAGATTATTAACACTGAAACTTTCATAAAAATATATCTTCCTTCCCTGGATTGTGTCTCTCCTCTTTCTTCATCACCTATATTATATAAGAAATTAAGGCTATGTTACGTCAACCACTGAATGGACTCCTTTGTCTTTACGTTCCTGTGCATCTCTTACTAAACTAAAAGCAAGTTCCAATTTTCTTCTTTGCAACAACAATGTTTTTATGCAATGCGCGTTGCATGCTTTAATCACTATAGGAAAAGTCATGATATGTTAAATTTGTCGTAATTCTGTCGGAAATTTAATCTAGTACTCCCTTCGTTTTAATTTATGTGAACTTGTTTGACTGAGCACGAAGTTTAAGGAAAAAATGAAGACTTTTGGAATTTGTGGTCCTAAACACGTCAAAAAGGGGCCCAGAGTATTTATGTGGTTATAAAAGTTTCTCATTAAGGGTAAAATTGTAAGTTTAAGCTAAATTGTTTACAAATTTAGGAAGGGGTCATTATTTTTTAAACGGACCAAAAAGAAAATAGGTTCACATAAATTGGAACGGAGGGAGTAACAGATTTGAAAGAACTTTTCACTGTCATAATTTTAAGAGATAATACCCTAAAACCCCCTTAAATTATAATTTTTTTGTGAGTTTCCTACTTAAACTATTTTGTGTTCCCAAAACCTGTCACGGCCCAAAAATCTCACATGTCGTGATGGCGCCTATCTCAATACTAGGCAAGCCGACAATCCCAATGAAACACAATATCATTTTAAGTTTAAAAATATAATATTTAAATTCAATACAAAATCTCATTAATACCGACATAAAACATTCCAAAAACCAGATGTCACCGAATACATGAGCATCTAAATGAATACAAAGTTTGACTCATAAAAACATTGTCCGACATATAGAACAATACAATAACTGAAAGGAAGGGAGTCAAAGTCAGCGGACGCCACGCATCTACCTGATTGATAGCACT